ATGCACCCTACTGACCACATGTCGACTGAAAACAGAAATGAAATGGAGGTAAACAAGCAAACAGGAACACAACAACAAATCAATGAGACGTATCCAACTGCATGTGGCATAGGAGCTGCCCTGCGGAGATGTTCCACTCATGCACTCATGGGCTGTAGCAGCACAGCAGGCCCAGGAGAGATCCACTCAAACAGCTTTCCTTGCCCCAATATGGTGGAAATACAATAATATTAAATACAAAAACCAAACCAAACCAACAAAAAAACCCCCAAAACCTGAATGAGATCCACAGCTGCTTACTGTGTCGTAGGAAACCTTTATAATTCAAATTCACCAATTGGTATATTTTTTCTCTTCTAACATTTGCTTTTGTTATCCAGGTTCAATCCGCTTTTCACTGCAGGTGAATGCTGCTCTTTGCATTCAGTGAGGAGATGCAAACCTCTTTTCCTTGCTCATTTCGGCTACAGAGATACGTCCATGTTTCCTGAAGCTGAACAGACAGAAGACACGAAAGCAGCCTGGATCCCAGGAAGACACATTCACCTCTTACTTAGGGGTGTGAAAAGAGGTTGTGGAGATCACTGGACTCCAGCAGTGCTCCCTTGCAGCCTGCTGGCTCCCTCCCATCAGCACTCCGTGAGGCCAGCAGTGCACAGGAGGTTCAGGAATCTCCTGATTTTTGTTCTATGTGACAGGGAACACCCATTTCTCAATGGGGCAGTGGAGACACAACAGCACTGAGCTGTACCTTCTGCACTGAATTCCAGAGCAAATCAGGGAACTGTTCACCTGTTACAAAGAAGAGCAGTTCAGCTGGGTTAAACACAGCTTGCCACTATCTAAACTGGAACATGGTATGGAAATAACACTCTTCACATCCAGCATGGAACTAAGGTGGTGCTTTTCCCAGTACTGACGCCATAAAACCACATTACCTCTGCTGTCCTTGCTCTATGATTAAGCCATAGGGCATGGAAGCATGAAAAGAGACAGCCTGCTCTCTCAGGACCAGAAGCTGGGGGAGAAAAAGGAAAGCATCATGCTGCTGGGTTACATGTATTCCTGCAACGTTACACCAAGCAACAGTTAAAAAGGGATTGGGTTCTGAATGCTAATGTCCGAATCTGAGGAGAACGTTCCATGCCGGGTCTAAAGATTATCTGCTGCTTTGTTTAGCATATGAGAAGCTGAATCTCTCCAAAACAAATAAATAGTTAAAAGAGAAATGAACAGAAAGCTACTTGTTGGGAAGCAATAAGCAAACCCAGAGATGCAAATTGTTGCTGCTTTCATCACAAGCTGGATAGCATGCAAAGTATTAGGGGAAGATCGAGCAAGCAGTTGTTTGTTCAGCTGTTGTTAACCCCCTTTCTATTGCCAGAGGTTGCCTTGGGACATCACTGCTCTATGCTGCGGCCAAGAAGTTCCACTGGCCGCCTACTGAACTGAAAATGCTGTGAGGCAGAGATTATTCTTCCACTCTGCTCCTCAGCTTTTGGCAAGGAAACTTTCTAAAACTGCCAAATAAGAAGCAGTAAAGATAAACATCTGAATATATCTGATGACTGAAGAGAATGATTAGTGCCTTCTTCCTTTTGCCTTCTCCCCCCCCACTGCTCTTCTGAGCCAACAAATCAGATCGGAGCTGAAGTATCACTGCATGTTCAAGAGAAGCAGTGAGCTGAAGGTCAGGGGCTCGTTACAGCCCATATCTATCCAGCAGCAGTGGTCAGAAACCTGTGAAGGATTTGAGAGCACTGTACCGTGCTCCACTAGTCTCAGTCCTCTGTTCCACTGAGTCCAACACAAACTCAGATGGAGCATAAGATATTTCAATAGTGCAAACATCAGAAAAACACACACCTCAAGAGCATTTTCACACAATTCCATGAGAATTTACCTTGGTTTAAAATATTACTTTTTTTCCAAATGCAAGATATTCCCAAAGATTGGTGATGGTTCACCAAAACTTAAAATACAAAGAAATGCACACTGATGTTTGCTGTCACATAGATATGTGCACAGTTCTAGGCACAGTCTCAGCAGTTCTTCACCTTGATGCTTTAGGATCATCCAAACTTGAGTAGCAATGAGTTAAATCTACAACTTCTTATCCAAGTCTTTGAAGTGAAATGACTTAGATTTGGGCAGCCCTTGGTGAGAGGTCCCTTCTGCGTCAGAAAACCTGTGATATGGATTACCATGAGTGGGAGATTTTTAATTATTATTATAATCTTTTTAAAAAATCTCAATGAGTCAGCTCACTGCACAAAGCTTTCTTGAAATTAATGCCCAAACACAATCTTTTTAATCAGTCCACCTGAGTGTGTATGTATGCTTCACAGTAGGAGCAAGTATTCCAAGGACACCACATGCCTCCCTGACACAGCCAGCTGAAGGAAGTACACACCACAAACCAAGTGGAATTATTTCCACTATATGGAACCTCTCGGCCACTCCCTGGTTCTGATCCCACATCAAACAGATCATAAACCAAGCCAAACTTAAGGCACTGGACTGCTATTGCAATGTATTTCTATGGCCAAAGAAGTATTTCAGATTTGATCTCATTAAGCACTCTCATATAAACTTACTGGAGCATGAACCTTTCCATGCTTCTTCTCTGCTACTGAAAATAAATGCTATTATCCTGGTTTCTTTCCCACTGAGTTACATGGGGAAATGGAACATTGCTGTGGCTTCAGCAGCTTTGATCCTAATACATTTATGTCACACAAAAGTATTCAGACTGTTTTGAGTTCTGTCTTACCTTTAAAAAAAATACACATATACATTTCCAATCCATAACATGCAGTTCTCTGACATTTTGAAGTTATTATCAATGAGAGCTGTATACAGCTTTCAGCCAAATCCTGGAGCTTTCAAAACTTCTCGTACTTCTGCAGCAGTCAGACCTGGACAGCTTTCAGTTGTTTCCACTAATACTCAAGTAACTGAGACAAGAATGGAGGAAGCATCCAGCGAACAGCTGACTATAAAGGCTTACTAGGATTTGCCAGCAATTCTTTGATCTGTAAATCCATCTAGACACCAATTGCTGCATATTTGACAGTGTCAGACAAAGAAACCTCCCTGCCTTGGGCAAAGAAAAAAAAAATATATGTATATAAAAAGAAATATAGGGATTTTCTGTGTGATTTCTTGCTGCTACACTCCACGTGGATGGAAGATATTCCGATTTTTTGAACAGCAGTTGGCTCACTGCAAACTGACAGCATTGGAATGGCCAATCCTCTGCTCTGCTCTGGCTCAAGTGTCCTACCAGGTTCTGTAGATAAAGGACCTCAGATTCCTCTTATTTCTTATCCCCCCATTACTTTTTATTCCAAATCACCTGAAAAAAAAAGCCACTGATAACACACAGTAGCAGCTATGGCCTAGCCCAGACACACAACATTTCCAGGGATGGAATTTCAGTGATTTACAATGTTGATCTGACACCAAATTCATACAACACTTTCTGGATTTGTTCAAAAGCTCCATCAATATTCTGACACTATAACCAAATAAGGCATTGTCATAACAGATTTCTTTCAGAGTCAGAAAGAAATATAACAATTCCCGTGTTCACATGTTTTTCAAAACTACGTGGTTTAAATTATATGACTTATTATATTTTGCCTCTAGAAATGGGCAGGACCCAATACCTTTTCTTGTTGTAAAGGAGAGACATCCGCTAACCAAGGTGCTACAGTTTTACATTGAAATACCATTTCTTTTTCCCCTGTAAATTGGTTGCTTACTTAATAAACTGAAAAAATGATCGAAACATCTCCAAATAGCTCAAACAGAAGTCTCCTCAGCATTGAAAGCTGAAACTCACATCTATTACAACATGCAGTTTTCCATTGAATGTTAAAAAAAAAATAGAGGAAAAGAGCACGGTGTTTAGAGATCTGAATTTTTTCAGAGCCAAGCAGCACCTAATTGTCCAACACTACAGAAATCAATGAAGAACCAGCAATAAATAAATAGTTCCATGACTGTATGTGTACAAAGCGGGATTTTCTCCATCCCAACTGCTAGTCTCTGTGAGCACAGATCTTAACAAAGTCTTTCTGTCAGTTTGCTGATAGGAATTGCTTTGGTTTTGAATGTGTAAAAAACACGTCATGTTGGTGGATGTTATTCTGATGGGCCAGCTGTGCACTCCCTGCCCTTCCAGCCATACAGGTGGGTTGTCTGGCTGAACTTGTGCTAAGCTGAAGGCTCAGTACGCACCTCATCTTTGTGTTCATTTTTCTAATATTGCTTTCACCACCCTGAAAGTGGCAAAAATAATATCGCCCAAGATGAGAAGAACAAGATGGGAAGGAAATGCAGTTTATTCTACAAGACAGACATCATGCAAGTCAGGGAAAATTCATTTTCACACTGAGCACCTTATTTCATTTCCATTTGGAAACCACACTGGAGATACAGACACTTTAAACTGTGTGATTCAAATTTTTCTTCTTGTTTTAAGGAAAAAAAATGTTGTATTGACCCAACGGGGAGCCCATACAGCATTGATATGAACCCAAATCCATGATGCATTAGCAAGCAAAAGGTCATGATGTCACCACAAATGCTACAACGTCACTGTTTCCAAATCACTAAAGCAGAAAAACAGAGTTATAGGAACCAGAAGGGGCAAAATAGGATTTTTTTTCCATATTTTTCCTTTGAAGAATAACAAGAAAAGCTATCCAATTTGCAATCATAATGCTTGTTTCCTATGTTGCTTATAAGTATCACATAAGAATTGTGTACAGCCATTACAATAATTTATTTGGCTGAAATAATTCCATGCATTTATTTTCCATTTTTGATGCTGTCCATATCAGCAGTGCGCTATTTCTATTCACTCATACCGCTGGGATTCAATTTCTTGCTGCTATCTTTGTAATCCTGGTACATTTGTTACGTGGCAAAGGGGGTAGGTGGAGGAGAGGAACAAATGATGGGTGAAGCTGCAGCACATAGCACAAGGATACAATCCCTTCCTGGAAAGAGGATTTTGTGGCGAACCATTTCTCCCATAATGCATCCCACAGACCATATATCCACTAGGACAGCAGAGACAGGAGGTGGAGAAGGAGGAAAAAAAGCAAAGTTAACTATGACGTTTCACTCCTAAAGCAGGGGACAAAGAGCAGGGTGAGCAGAGCAGTACCAATCATTTTAGTTTTTTCTTTCCCCACATCTCATAGAAGCTCAAATAAACACGTAAGTACAAGCTGTGTCAGTTGGCTCAGTGGTAGTAAGCAACAATGGTGCAAGAAATTCAAAAGCAACACTGTTGGAAAAAGGCTCACTATCAGCCAGTAACTACTGCACCAAATCATGCCGTATGCTGAGTTTACAATGAAAAAAACCTCAATTTGTTTTGAAATGAAAAAGCAAAGCCAACAGCCCAGGCAGTGATTGTCTGAGCAAAGCCCATGTGCAGCTGCATAGTCTGTGGACTCCATCCTGTGGTAGTGCACAGGAGGATCCCAATGGAACTACTCCTGTAAGCAAAGGCCATGTGGATAAGTACCACACTTAGGGGTATCTACAACAGCTGTTTGAGGATCTGAATCCACATCCTATCCATTTCAGCATTTCAGCATGTGCCTGTCGGTGTCTACATACCAACTGGAAAGAACCAGAGCATAAGACTGGTCTGCAACCTTGCTTTACTCCATTGGTACTCAAAATAAATGCTAATATAAATCATTGTTTTGTAGGACAAGCATCCACAAGACTGTTTCTAATCCTCCTGATCCTACATTCAGGGTTTAGGTGTAATGAACACAGTCACATTATATGCTTGAATTGAGTGTTGTTTTTTTTTTTTCCCCTTCAAGTCTTGTAAGAAAAAAAAAAAAAGTCAACTACAGAATGACACAGCGTGCTCAGAAAGAAAAGATCCAGATTCAGCATTAGGGGGAAAAGCTGCCTTAAAAACTGCTTTGCATTCTCACTTTCTGGCCATTTTTTATTTTTATTTTTTAATCTCCATGACCACTTTCTCTTATTTTTCTTCTCACTTTTTAACCTTCAAAAGTAGTCCAAAACGAACCAAGGAAACAAACAACTCATCTCTTGGTCAAACAAAATAGAGGTGAAACATTCCATTTGGGTCAAGGAGGGTAAAGGGTATGGGGCACGGGACAGCAGGAGCATGCCTGAGGCTGCGGCAGTTTTCTTCACAGTGATGGCTTTGGGAGCTTCCCCAGGAAGCGCAGCAAACCAGTGTTAATGGTACATCTTTAGCCAACCCAGTGCAGAAAGAAAATGAAAGCAGTGAATAGTCCTTATACAGGCAATGGGCATAGAAAGGGGAAAAAAGGAGGGGAGCTTCAGTAATGTGGCAGCACAGGAGCAGGGAGCAGAGAGCAGCCCTTCTGTTCCTTCCCTGGGAAATATGGCAACAACTCTTGGAACTTTCCCAGCTCAGTACTTCATCACAAAAACGCCCCTAAGATTTTCTTATTGTCATTTTAAGAACTGAGTGCATTCTCTGCCCTCTCAGGGATGATTACAACAACAAAGATGTTTTTTCTTTCAAAATATGTAGTAAATAAAAGTGGGTATTTGGTGCAAGGAGCTGTAAAGCACGTCGAGCCCAGGTCAAGTCAATAGCAATGCTCATCAAAGTCCTTCAAGAAACACTGCTCTCTTTATAAATATTTTTCTGTACTGTTAGAATCTACTCAGTTACTGTCTACTTTCTTGATTTTCAGAAGAAAATCTGCACTGTGAACTCACAATCATTACAATTAATGCAAAGACCTCTGTCTTTGACAAGAGGAGTGGCAACTTCTGAGGACAGAACCTGAGACTAAGCACTTTCCTCCACTGCATGCTTTATCCCTTGCTTCCCTGCCCAGTCTACCTGACACTCTGAGTTTAGGTGAAAATGAGAATAATGTTTAAAGTCTCCCCTTCATTCCAAGGCAAAATGAGCCTTGTCCATGCTTGGTCCTCCACAGCTTGTGCCCCCTCTCCCTGCTCTTCCCAACGTTTCCAGGGACCAAGAGTTCCCTAATTCCCTCTTGGGCTCTTCAGAGCAAAACACCATCCACATTTGGATAGAAATTTCATCTGGATGCAAATACAGATGGATGATTTATTTTTATTTTAATTTTCAGGTTTTTTTTTTCTTTTTTTTTCCCCCTCTGTCCTCTCCAATTCTACTTTCCATTAAGAGACTCAAACTACAGAATTTACACCTAGATCTCAGCCACATTAATTCAGTCAGCAAAACCTGTAGCTTTAGTTAAGTCTATCATAAAGATAGAAATTGGTTTTGAAATTCAGATCTACTCCCAGGTTTGGAGGAATCAGAGAAAGGCCAGGATTCTCTGCTTCAGCTTCTTCCTTCCTCAAACAATCTGGAGACCCAGCCCCAAATCCCTTGTGCATTAGTCCCAGCAGTTAGCACCTTCATAGACACAGAAGCAAAACACTTGGTGCTTGGAAAGGGTTCTTTGTGTTTGATTAGCTCAACAATAACTAAGAACAGTTTCCCATTATTCTGCAATCCCACACTGATAACTCCATCCACTATTACACCCCAAAAACAGTAGGTTCCTGCAGCACCCAAGAGCAAGAATCTCCTCCCCATCACCTGCCTTTTATATTCATGATGTCTTTTCCTGATACATTTTCTGTTTCTCCTCCTGGTGCCCCTACAGCCACAGATCCACCTCACACCTGTGTGCTCCGACATGCAGCCCTACCGTTCTCCTTGTAGCCCATTCCCAGGATGACCTCCGGTGCTCTGTAGTACCGTGTCACCACGTACGGAGTCATCATGAAGCTGGTGCCCGCGGTCCTGGCCAGCCCGAAATCCAAAATCTTCAGCGTGCAGTCAGACTTTACCACAATGTTACTTGGTTTTAAATCCTGCAAAAGATTTTGAAAGAGTGAAAAGAATGCATAAAGCCACAGCCACGGCAGGGATTTTTCAGGCCACCCTTAAAATACTCTTGCACTCATTGATGGCTTCGATCAGAAATCACAAGCACGTGGCAAAAACTTTGCGCCTGTTTCTCTGCAATATCTTGCAAAAAGTGTTGTCCCTTGGGTATACCCTGGGGCTGTACTCATTCAGTGGGAGCTTTCTGGTGTGAAATAACTTCACTGGGCTGCTTGAGAAGTTCAGATCAGTATTGAAGTATTATTTTGTGGGGTTTTTTTTAATGCTGTCAGCCTCACTGAGATATTCCATCTATCATATGTGGAGATGGTTTACTGCTTCATTTGTTTTAATAAGAATTCAACTCATCCTTTCTCAGAAATTATCTCGAAACCATATCCACATCTTCCTATGTATATACAGCATAGCAAGAAATAAAGCCTTTGCTTACTGTAAGGCAACATTCTTCTTGTGAACCATTTCAGTAGCCCTATGCTCTTCCATTCATAAGGAAAGGGACATTTTTTTTTCAGCTGGAAACACAAAATTAGTACAAGACCACTGTAATAAAGAATAGGGATGTTTTAAATCCATTCAGCACTGCCTCATATGCTCCCAATCACACAATTTCTTCTGTTGGTAAGGATCACAGTGCTATCTCCCACACTCACAGCCATGTTTAAGGAGCAATAACATTTCTGTAGACATTTCAGAGATCATAATCACATTAGTGATTTCCAGTGCATATTCGTGATTATTATTATTATTTTTAATAAGCACATTACCTAAGGACACTTCAAAACAGACATGAAGCAACTCAGTGAATGGAGTGGGCTGCGACTGGTAAATGCACAGTGATTTTACTGGAGGTAGGCTTAGATCCACAGCACACGAAAAACTCAATTGGTTTCCAAAGTCTCCACGAGGATGGCATTTGCTACCCTGAATTCCAAACTGAAGTCTCCTTACCCTGTGAATAATTCCTGCAGAGTGCAGGTGCTTGATGCCGCAGAGCATTTGGTACAGCAGGTAGGACATTCGCTCATGGTCTAGCTCCATCTGAATCACCTGGCACAGGTTGGCATCCATCAGCTCCATCACCAGGTAACTGAATGGAACAGCAAAGCCAGGAAGGTTATCAGCTGTGTTGAGAAGAACCACAGCATCACCTCCAGTAACTAACAATGTTAGAAAAGTCCCAAGTGTCCCATGCCATGGCCGCCTGGCCTTCAGTAATGGCTCCCACAGCACATGCAGGAATCCGAGCGCAGTCTGAGCAGCTCCAGCATGCAGCACATCTGCATTTGAAATGTCTCCAGACTCCTCGTAAGACTGCATGGCTTAACTTAGTAATTGATCCTGAGCTTCTAGTAGATAAACTTCATTGACAACCTCAGCAGAACCTGAACCCAATGCCCTTCAGAATAAAGTTAATAGTGAACACATCAGCACATTTCTTAGCAGACATCTCAGAAGCACAGCTTATGTGATCACAAACTGCTCAACTTCTGTGCACCACTTAATTACATCCTCATTGTAACACGACAGCAAACTTTGGGGAGAACATCAGTTTTCTGTTTCTATGTGAAATACACGCCTCATCTTCTCCCCAGCATTGGTTACCTCCTGTGCTCTGCATACGTCTGCAGGAACAATATGATGCAGAAGATTCATATAGTACTACTAAAACCATCCTTGCCCAACTCCAACAACTATTTGTCCCTTATCACCACTGAATATCCAAGTACAGAATAGGAATACATTTCCACACCACACATACAAGATACGGGGAAGACTGAAAGCTAAAAAAGGAATAGAGCTACACAGCACTGTTTGTAGTTCCATTTGGTGCAGCTTCATACTCTGCACAGAAGTGCTTTTGCAATTGGACAACGCCCAGCAGAGATGCAGCTATACTCTGCACTGAGTATGAGTTACCCAGGCAAGCAATTAAAGGCAGTCAGAGGTTATTACAATGCAAACATGAATGATGTTCCATATCCATCAATCACTCTTATAGGAAATTATTTTGGAGTAAATTGCTGCACTCTTACAGAACTTCAGAAACCCAGTATTAGCACCTCATAGATGCTTTGAACACAGGAATGCAGATAGCTGTCTGATCACAGTGCAGACTACTCATGGACATTTTTCAGAGAGGCTCATAGCCCTAGTGTTCTGCTGAGTTATTGCATTCATGGTACACTGAAACACTGCATCTCAAAAGCTTTGGTTTAATTGCTTCCCGTATTACTTACACATCCTGGAACTCCTCCAGAGATTTCTGTGGCGTGAAGACATTTAATAAACTGATAATCTGAAAGACAGAGCAAAGCAAAAGGAGGAATAAAAGCGATAAAGGTAAAGCAGTCAAACTCATTTTGAAGCATGTATTGAAAGATAAATTCTATTTTTCACTGCTCGATTAATATCAACACCTCTCACTTTATGGCTCAGTAGAAGTCAGTAATATTCAAAATAAAATGCCTCAGATCTCCAAAATGTCTTCAAGGCGCAATTGTATTGTTTCTAAGAGAAGGACTAGTGATGATGGATGACTAGCCACATGCTCAGGGTGAAGGAGTCCTCTGAATGTTGAGGGCTCAATTCAAAAACTGACCGAGGATCCATCCGCAATAACTTTCCTCATGCTGCAGCCAGTAATTTCTTAAACGTGAGGAATTGAAAAAATGTGACCTGAGGAATCCAAACTCCCTGTGTTTTTCCTTTTGTGTGGGCAACAAAGGCAGAAAACAGAAACACAGCCACCAAGAAGACTGTATTTTACCTCTCCCTTCCTGCTGCCCTACTCTCCAGGTTTGTCCCTTCCCTGTCTTTTCAATCTTCCCCTTATGCACATTTGTTAAAACAGATGGGCTAGAACTCCGACCTAGCCAATGCTGTGTTGTCAGCAACCTTTACGCAGCATTTTTTTCAATTATACATTTCAAATGAACACTGTTTCCCTGCAACTCTTCTTTCTCCTCCAGTATATTGAAATCACAGAGTGAGAATGCAACATCACCCTGCTTACAGGAAGGACCACAGTCCTTCCAAAGGCCTCTAGGTTGGTTTGACTGAGGGCAGCTTCAACCCATGTCACCAGGGAAGAGGCAGGACAGCCCACACGGACACACTGAAAGCAGAAGAATATGTCAATGCCTAGAGATGGTGGAGAGGGTGCTAAAGTGACAAGTGAAGTCCTGATCAAGGAGTTGGTTACCCCAACTCAAGAGACCCCTCTTTGAGTCTCCTACTCAATGACAAGAGGTTCGAGCCAGAATGCCAACCAACACTTCCCTATTTCCAGAGAAACAGTACAGAAAAACATGCTCTGCTCTCTCTCCTTCCATCATCCCTACGCTCCTATCAGGGCTCCCATTTGGCAGAGTCTTCACAGATGCACATGAAAGAAAACCACTCACCTATGTGGCCATGCATCATCAGAGAAAAAGCAGCCTTGATCAGTTTACTTTTCATTTCTCTCTCTTTAAATTTTAAATTAAAAAAGACCCCCCAAAAGAAGAGTTTTCTTCTGAACAAACCAAAACACCAATCTGACTCCCTGCATAAAACTTACATTTTTGTGATTCACACACTTCATGAGGACCAGCTCTCTATAAGCACGCTTGGCGTGGGTTTGGTTCTGGAATGGTCTGCTGAGCTTCTTAATGGCCACATTTCTATCAAGGATGGCATCGTATGCAGCACTGCAATCATGACAAACACAGGGGTTATACATCTTAAAGGAGATCCTTCATTTCCTATGGCAAATCCCTGAGCCTCAAGTCTGCTATTTCTATTTTTCCTTAACTTGAGGAAAATGCTGGGACAAGGTGAGATTGTTTAGTGAGAGGAAAGAAGCCAATGAAACACATCAGCAGGGAAGAGCATGCACCCCTACTTCTGACATCCAGTTTCTTAGGAATCTAACCTTTATTTTTAGGGGGTAGAAATAAAAGATTAATTAACTCTAAGTAAAAGTACAGTGAGAATTGGAGGAGAGACAGCAAAGCAGCTCGGTGTACTGGGTACAGCAGAGAGGCTTCTGCAGCTCCAATCATGATCAAGGACATGTTCACCAAGTGTCTCAATGAGCAATTCTCCACTTCTATTTAGAATTCATTTAGTCTTTTCCTTATCATGTTTTCTAATGGAACCAAATTATTTAATCATTCCTTTAGACCATATCGTCCAGTTCCAATTACATGCCTGGAAACAGGACTATTTCTCAAAATTTCTCTCTCATTTCCTTTTCATAAAGAAAATAAATTGTTGTGTATGCTTAGTTAAAAAAAATTGAGTATGTGACAAAATTCAGCTTGGGTTTGCAAAATAGTCTCTTAAAAATGGGCTTTTCAAATTCTCCTTCTAAGTTTTAAAATATTTTGCACAACCTTCACGTATTTTGATAATTTTCACCTCTAATGAGTTAGAACCACTTATTTTGGTTGCCCAAATATGACGACACAAATTCCAGCTTCTGCATTTTATAAATGCAAATTAGAAATATTCTCTGACTAAAACAGTCCTCAGATCCCATTCCTGATTATTCCTTTTCCCAAGAATGTGGAAAGGTTTACTAAATGTTTTTGCTGCACCAAGAAAAGCAGCAGTGCATTCCCCACAAGGTAACTTCTTCAAATCACTTCTTGTTGTTCCAGCAATGAAACCTGAAGCACCAGAGCAACTCTTCAAAATCATATATTTTTTCCTATTAATCCTTGTAGGTATTCACTCACATTATCCCACTGACTATGTACAAACCAGAAAGCATACAAGTATCAGAAGCTGAGTTACAAAAGCAACAAAAATTTACAAGCACACCAGAAAAAGTTGCATGAGAATTGAAACATTTTCTCCTTCTCCACTCTGTGATTGCCAGTAACACTACTCCTATGTCAGAAGCATACCAAATATATACCCAAAAAGGAACAATTGATTAACAGAGATAGTGAGAAATATGAGACATGATGGTGGATTTGTAGCTTCCGTTCTCTTTTGGGTTGATCACAGTGGGACACCATGAAAGCAAAGACAAAAATATCCTTATTCTATTCATAAAGTATTATGCTTTATGGAAACAAAAAGTCAGAGGAGTTGTTTTAAAACAATATCTTTCAATAGCTAACTGTTCTACATCCATCATTTAAGGACATTTATTGAAAATACATCTCAGCAGACAAATGTCTGAGCTAATTCACACTACTTAATCACCCAGCATCTTTAAAAAAGACAATCATAGAACCAGAGAATCACTTGAGTTGGAAGGGACCCTTAAGGATCATCTAACTCAACTCCTCTGCAGTAAACAAGAACATCTGCAGGTAGATCGTGTTGCTCAGAGCCCCATCCAGCCTGACCTTGAGTGTCTCCAAGGACAGGCACCCAACACCTCTCTGGTAAACTGTGCCAGTGCTTTACCACCCTTTGTGTAAAAAACATCTTCCTTGCATCCAATCTGTAGCTTCTGTTCTGTTTGTTCACTTATTTCTGAATCTTTCTCTCTCAGTCAAAGCAGGAGATACAAAAGCACCGATTTAAAATCTGCAACATCTTTGCAAGTCCTTGGGAACAATCCATTCCCGGTCCACCATGTAACGCAACAGCTGCTTCCTCAACTACAGAGAAAGAGAAAACAACCCCAATAATCCTTTGTACAGTGGCGTTTACTCTGAGATACTGCGATCTCAACTGCAGTTCCCCCCATGCCTTCCATCAAATGGAAAGTGTCCAACTACCTCAAGACGTGAAAATGGGAATTAATTGCACGTAGTCAATTAATAACACTGATGCCTTTTCCTACTCACCAGAGAGAAGCTTTTGTTCACCAACAGCTAGTGCTGCATCTTAGCACAATGAAATCACAGGTCCCACATGTGGGCCTTCTCTCTGGTGCTTGTAGAGGAAGTCCTTCCTTTGGAACACCAAGGTTAGCACCAATAACCTACCAGCCTTCCTAAGAAAATCTTCCATCATGGGCATAAGTGTGGTTGTCTGAACAAGTGACTTAGGGGAGCAGGAGTAAGAGAGAGAGTAATGAGTGCCTGAGAACTACTCTCAGAAAGCTGATTGTGAAAGGCAAGGCCAAGATCTCCAATAAGGGGCAGGACACACATCACAAAGTCTGGGCTCCTTTCACTATGAACTGTATTAAAATACTCTGCTCACCTACAAAATTATTTATGAATTTATACAGCTGATTTATTTTGATAACAAGGACCAGAATTCAACCCTGGGTCCTGCTATAAAACGTTCTTTCATAATAAGCTCAAAATTTTTTTCCAAGATTACCATCATATCTCTGGCAGCTGCGCAAAAGGAAAACACAATAAATAAACTCTTCCCCAACAATTGTTTATGACAAATTTTTTAAGGTAAAAGTGAGTGTTAAAACTGTCTTTTAAGTAATGTGAAACAAAACAATTTAGCAGAGAAAAATTTTAGCCAGATGTGGAAATAAATTTATCAAGACTCATCACTAATTACAGCTACTTCATGAGTCTTTGTTGGCTCCATTAAAAAAAAAAAAAGAAAAAAAGAAAAAAAACAAACTCATTTCAGGCTCATGAATTTATACAGATAACCATAATTTGGATCACTGTTTACCAGTGATTTTGTGTGAGAGTTCAGGCATTTGAAAGAGCAAGCAATCACTTGTCTACATACATACATTAGAAAGAAAAGAACACTCTAGGTTAATGTCCAAGAGGCTTTTTGAACAGATACTTCAAAATTGTTCTTCCCCTGCAGTAGTAACACTTTTAATCACTAATATTTATAACTCCTATATTAGCCCCCCCAGAATGAACTGCCAGTTAGACAGAACTACCAGCATGCACTGACACAAATTGTGAAACTTTTCTGAAAATCTTTTCCTAGTATAAAAACAACATTCTGACACAAAACACTGCAAACTGGCGATATTACACCACCACTCCCTTCAGGGCAGGTTGACTCTAGGTATATCTGAATATACTGCTCACTTAATTTTTCCTCTGAATAACATATACTCTTTCTTCCAGGAAAATCACAGATCTGTGTTGCAGTGAGGCCTCATCCGGAGTACTGTGTCCATATCTGTTGTCTTCAGTACAGGAGAGACATGGATCTGTTAGAGAGTATCCAGAGGAGGGTGACAAAAATGATCCAAGGGATGGAACACTTCTCCTAAGAGGACAGGCTGAGAGAGCTGGGGCTGTTCAGCCTGGAGAAAGCTCTGGGTAGACCTGATAGTTGCCTTTCAATATCTAAATGGGGGCTATAAGAAAAAGGGGACAGACTCTTTAACAGAGACTGTTGTGAAAGGATAAGGGATAGTGGTTTCACACTAAAAGGGAGAAGTATTTACATTGGATGTAAGGAAGAAGTTTTTTACATTACGCGTGGTGAGGCACTCACACAGGTTGTTCAGAGAGATGATGGAAGCCCCATACCTGATGACATTCAAGGTCAGGGTGAACTGGGCTCTGAGCAACCTGATTGAGCTATAGGCATTCCTGTTTATTGCAGGGGAGTTGGACTAAATGGCCTCTAAGGGTCCCCTCCAACTCAAACAATTCTATAATACTGTGATTCAGTTTACTGCTTCTAGGATATTATTAGGCTGCTTGTGATCTGAAGAGCTACCTGATCTCTTCAAAACCATCCTCAAAGCATCCTTCCTGCTCCCATGCACCTTCCTCAAAAGCATTTTTCCAAGACACACAAACTTCTCACACAACCTAGGAAGAATAAACCATGTTCCAGCTGACCCTGCACTACACTGTATTCCAACAATCTGCAGCACAAAAGCCTATTTTCACTCTTCACTAAAATGCAAAAATAAAACTTCCCGGATCTCAACTGAAAGACATCATCTGGCTCACCTTACCCAGACAACACTGACTTGTGATAATAGAAACAGCTATAAGCGCCCATGTGGTCCTAACCAGACCAAGTTTCTTCACAAGCAACCACTATGTTCTTAATTGCTTGCATCCTCAAGTGTGTAAGTAATATCTGTTAGAAAACCAAGGCTTCTCCTTGATTCCACCATAAATTCAAGAACCCTCGCAGTTCATTCAAATTTTTTTTGAAATATTCTAGTACAGCATAACTTTTCTACAAACCAGAGGCAGTGTGAAAAATATCATAGTATCAAAATGGTCAACTGAAAGCCATTGCAGATATTCTACATATAACTTGCATCCAGACAAACAGCATTCCTTCAAATGAAAATACATGACATATACATGAAAATACACTCACTCCAACATCAGTATATTTCCGATGATTTTATGCAACATGAGAATACCTCTCCTTTGTCTAAGTGTCCATATCCACAGGCACAAAGTGATCTGTCTCTTGCTCTCCCTTAAAATAAGGCACTTGCCACCTCTCCTTCCTTCCAGCACTGCAGAGAGGTATCAGTTCCCTGTTCTCTCAGTCAGTCACTAAGATAGGACATAATTAAAAAACATACTCAACTCATTTTATCTTTGAAGTTTTTTCGTTTCTACTGCAGACCTAAAACTTATGGACAAAAGTCGAAGTACTTTGACAACGCTTAGTCCAATAAACTCTGCTTCATCCAAGTCTCATTGTCATCACATGTACAATACCACAACAATTTTACAAAAGCACACCACTCTTCCTCACAGACATCTGGGAGATTTACAGTCACTAGTCTGTACTGTCATCAATAGTAGGAATATTTCTGCTCAGAATCCAAGCTGTTTTCTTTTCTCCTTCTGGCAAAAACCATTTTGTGAACATGACTAACACAAATCCCAGTGAAAGTTCCCACACCAATTTCACAAGATACCAAGCACAGTATGTCCAAAGCCACACTTGCTCACCAAGTTTTTAGTTATTCCACATGGGCACAGTGACATTTATAACAAACACATCACACGGCTTGCTCTTTTTCACAGATCTTTAGTAAATTATCAGCTCCTGAAGAACTCCATACCTTTACTGTAATGTTTCCACAACAGGAAAATGATTTTGTCCTCAATGTAAATTTCAGGATAACGAATTAAGACCAAGTCCCTGCTTCTTTAAGAGCCACATTCCCTCTTCCTATGCCCACTTCTGTTCCATGAGAGGTTTTACTGTTCATGCAAATTCCCTTGCTGAAATCTACCTATAGAATCATGTAAGACAAGCTGGAGGCACCTCCAGGTTAGTGAAAGCAATGCTGCTGCTAGCAGATGGAATCTGGTCCTGAAGTGAGTACTGAGGCAGTCCCTGACACAGAAGATAAATGTGTATTGTGTACCTAATCGGTACTGAAGGGTTTGATACCAAATTATTGACAAACTACTTCAAAAAAGGTTCCTGTTTCTGAGGATGTGGGCACTGTTATTCTGTGATCAAGTACCAGGCAAGGCAGAAAACCATTCTCAGTAATCAACTCTCCCAGTGCAAGCAAAGCTTCTTATGAGCTTTGAAGATTTGGACAAGTCCAGAAGCTGGACATCTGCTGCCACTGCTGGCAGCAGCTTTGTCCTGAATGTGGAGTTGGCATTTAGCAGTAATAATCTACCTTTTTCACTCGATAAATAACAACTCCTGACATATACTAAAGCAGTCTCCAACAGCTGGGTAAGTCCTCACTGCACCCAGCAAGCTGGCAGTTCCCACCAAATTCTTGCTTTACCATTGGTTCTTAATGTGCTGCTCTTAGCTTGTTCGTATCTTTCTGGTAAATTATGGCTCACAACAGGTAGACTGCAACATGACACATGCTAAACAAAAATGATCATCTGCCCTATCAGTCACATAACACTTCTCCATCTGTCCTATGAAACTGTACAGCCTTTTGTGGCCTCAAAGTATTGCTCAGCCATTTAGGGAAATCTGTAGTACTTTCCACATCAGCTTTCTTGTTTTCTCATTTGACTTTCTGTCCTAAGGAATTTCTAACATCTCCTGTCAACTATTAGTATAAAAGACAAATTCACGTTATGTTACAGATCTTACTTAGCTTAACTGCCTTTTTTAAAAAAAAAAAAAGAAAAAGACTTCATTTTTATTTTATTTTTGCTGCTTTTAGTTGACCCATTTTAAGCTATATTTAGCCCTTTCCTGTTTGAGAACCTATTAGCAGCTACCTTGCTGCAAAAGGTTTCCGGTGCAGGTGCTGCAGAATGCTCTGGACATGACCAGTTCCTACACAGTGCTCCCTGATTTTTACTGCATGAATACTGAAATTACAGGGTTTACCCAGGATGTAATTTGCACTGCCTCTGGAAATAGCATCACAGTTGTCAAGTGCAGTCAGGTTCTTCCTCTTTCTCCCTTGCTAGTTGCATTTTGCTATGTGGAGAAACAAACCCCATGCTAACATCCTCACCAGCAGCAGAATTTATCAGGCTTCTTTTGCCTCAGGATGTTTGTTGCCCAATGCTCATTTTTGCAATTGCAAACAATGTCTGTGACTAGCAAACTGTGAAGAAATGCAAAAAGCAAATCCTACTGAAAAGAGAAAGTGCTGATACTCACCAAACTATTCCCTGAGCCCCAGAGCCAATTGGTTTCAAGTTCTGGTAGCGCTTGAGAACAGTGAAGGTCGAGTCACCCACTTCCACGCTGTAGAACTGGTTGTCAACTTTGCTTTTGCTCATGTTGTAATGCTTGGCAATGTATGACACATCCACTTGTTTCCCAAATCCCTGTTGTGCAGAAGGGAAGGGGGTTGGGAAGGAAGACAGAAACCCAAGCTGTAAAACATCAGAATATTGAGGAAACACAGTCAGTTCCATTTTAAAATATGAATTCTTGTCATTTTAGACTACAGTATTCAATAGCTGAGAAGAGTTTACCAGTTCTGTATTTCTGGGAACGAGAAGTGCTATTCCTGTGATTCTAGCATTCTAGTGTTAGTCCCCAGAAAACAAATTATTTTCACAAAAACAAAAAAAAAAAACCCCAAGTTATTACAAACCTGTTGTGCTTGCATAGAAGATAGCACCACAGACCTGTAACCTTGCCCATATACGTAGGCATTACCAGACAGAGTTCCATTACAGCCATTTGAGGTCTGCTGGTATCCTTTGTTCACTGAAGAATACAGAGTAAAATACGTACTGACTATGAGATAAACACTGTGATTTCATGCCTATAACCAAGAATTCTATCCTATGCCACGCTGAGCACGGGACACAGAAGTTCAGCATGCCACAGAGCTGTCCTGGAGCAGTGTATGATTCACCCAGAGAATCCACGTTCCCCAGATGCACTCTGAAGAGGAGAAATAGAGCCCAAATGCACATCTGCTGCCTCACTTGCATCTCTCTTCCTCTGTATTCGTTTCCAGTGCTCACAAATGCAACATTTGAATTTTCCTAGTTTCTCTGACATAAATTGCTTTTTCAATAAATCTGAATAATCAACAATGCTATGTGACTGAACAATAATATTAAGATGAATTTTAATGGGGAAAGGAAAAACAAAAAAGTTTCCTTGAAGAATATGATTTTTTCATTTAAAAAACACACAATTCCAGTGTTCCATAAAGCTGGCATTAAAAATAGAGAACTGATCCTGCCAATAACTGGGGTTCTCTGGTTTGCCCTGGGATGAATGAATGCCCTTTTTCTGTCGGTTATGTGGTCACTGACAGGGTGGTTAATCCCAGCTGCCTCATTCAGAGGCTTTGAAGTGTTCTAACTGCAGCCATGCATTCAAACAGAAAATCTCATTTCAGAAGAACAATTAGAAACACTGCATTTACTCATGAATCAGACACAGGGCAAGGGATCCCTCCTCTCCCCAAATGATGAAAGAAAGAAACATGCCCATACTGACACAAGTGCTAAATCCAAGGTTAAAGTGTGGAATAACTCTGAAAGAGGTATGGATTTTTCCCATCTAAAGAAAGAAAATTAGCATCTGATTTGCACTGTGCAGCCTTAGTCTCAAAGCTCCTACTGCTATGAGCAGACAGATGAATAAATCCAGCTTGCTCAGCTACTTCTACCAGACCTGGAACTGAGCAGCTTTATTTGAATAATGTGCTCCTGATAGACAGGAAATAATTCCAGCTCCCTCTGGCTACACTAACACATTTGCATCATGTTTTATCCTGATGTCATTATCAGAACAATGCAGACTATATTCAGCATTAACATCCGTTACTGTAAAACCAATGTTAGGGAAGTGTCAGCATAATCACTGCACTGCTTAGAGAGCCCAAATCACAGCCAGCTCCCTTGGAAGAGCCAGGGAAATTACCTTGCTCAGGCCTGAGGAACCACTGCCTGTTGGCATCACTGGTACTGACCTTCCCCTCCGTAATGTATGTGGTACAGATGTAAATGGGATAAGTTATTTTTGTCACTTTGAGTTCAGAATCCTAAACACATCAACATCACTTCTTTTCAAGTCAGGCAGAGCCTGTGAATGACTGGACTTAGGAACCTCACAATGCTACAAATTGTTTTCTGAAGTGCTGCAGCTCCAGCAGGCAGGTATTTGTAATCCAAGAAAGTCTTAATTAATTGAACAATTATTGTTTGCAGTTCTTCAGTCATTCCAACAGTAACTGAAGAAACATCAGCCAACAGGAGGCTGTAGGGTCTGATCAGAACACAATGGTCTCAACAAGTGGCTTTCCCCTGAGTAACACAGACTTTTAGAATGATAGAATCAAAGAATCACTGAAGTTGAAAAAGACCTCTAAGACCATCTAATACGAGCATTAACCCATCACCACTACTAACCCATGTTCACTAACCCATGTCCCACAGTTCCACATCTCCACAGTTCTCGAACACCTCCAGGGATGGTGATTCCACCACCTCCCTAGGCAGCCTTTGCCACTGCATCACCACTCTGAGGAGAAATGTTTCCTAAATTCACAGATTCATAGAACTATTGAGGTTGGAAAAGACCTCTAAGATTATCTAGATTAACCATCAACCCATCAGCACAATGCTCGCTTTCCTACAACAACCCCTCTGTTCTTCACGTGCAACCAGAAAATGTAAAGACAGCTTCATTATTTATGGAAGCTTATGAAAAGTAACACTTTCTTAAAGTCTATTTAACATGTGGGCAATGAGCTGCTTTGATAGAAAAGACACCCAGAATTACTCTCAAATATAAGGCATAGTGATGTAGCTGGAAGTTGACTCTAATCAAAACGCCTCCTGGAAGTGACATGCACTTGGCTGCTGGGGACAGGCCAACCAGGCTTCCGATCAGCTACCAATCTGCCTCCTCTCTTTAAAACTACACTGGTAATAAAATGCAGAAAAATAAGCTGCCGATTTTCATCAGAAAATCAGCAAAATTAAAGCGCAATGGGCCTACTGCTTAAACCCAAAGTAATACTCCCATAAGAACTATGGGACAAATGATGTAATTTTCCTCGTCCTGATCAATATTTAAATCAAATCTCTAAAGCAATGAATTAACAGTGTTATTAATCACATTTAATCAGATCTCCATATCAAAGTAACAAATAAGTAAATCACAAATGATTTCCAAGTCAACTCAACAGTCACTTCTGAAACAAGGACAAAGAAACGGTCTCTTAAAATTCAGCTAAAAAGGCTTTACCCTAAGCAAGGAAATGCATGCTCTCAATGAGCATGCACACACCCAGAAGACAACTTTCTTTCATATTTCTCAACTTCTTGATGAGAAATCCTCATCAAGAAGAAACTAGAAGCTCTTCATTCACTATTAACTGGAGAAAAGAACGGTGCTCACACTTACATTGACTTGGGAAGTCACACTGAAGATCTGTAGGTCTTGCTAAGGTCTTCTAGAATTTCACTACAGTTCATAAATTTTCAAGTGAGCACCAAATGAACCTGGCAAGTTATGCTATTGGGACCCCAACATAGCAATAAACATTGCAAGAACAAAAATATTTAGTTAGACATAAAATTCTCCATCCTTTTTCTTTGGAAAAGTTTCACAGGTCTTTGTGTTAAGTGAAAGATAATTGCTGAAACACAAACAATGCATTGGAGTGTCATTATTTCGTGGCTTCTATAAATATTTGGACAACAGAATCAAAGTTTCAATGCTAACTAGAACTTAACCTTAATTCTCCTTGTACAGGAATTTTCTTTGGCCATAACACATTCAAAACTTACAACGCATACCACATGTCATTCTCCTTCTTCTGTACTGGGAAACTTCAGATTAAAAGAAGTTGTTCAGCTTTCAGAAGTAAACGTACATCTATCCAAGCTGGGTTGGCAGCCATAGCCGCACAGTTATTTGCCCAATATCCCAATGGCTTGGGTGGAAAGGAAATCAACTGCCAAGCCTCAGGGGATGGAGGTGGAGGGAAATGCTAGTCCTAACATTTCTATATGCCTTAGGAACACGTTATTTGTTTTCCAAGAACAGCTATTGAAAAACTCGGTGAAACTCCACTTATTGCCTTGCTCATAGTCACAAGCTACATTCTTTTTCTTTCTTTCTTTTTTTTTTTTTTTTTCCTGTTTTACAGCATAAACAGCAATAAAGAGAGATAAGAAAGCGCAACAGAATAACAACACTATTTTCTGTAGTTTGAAGTGAATTGTTTCCTGATATTATCCCTGTTTATCTATCTACTTCTACCCCATGAAAGGAGGATATTGACTACTTTTCACTGGTGGACATCTGTTTCTGAACACCATTCCCCCTGTTGTTGATGAACTCACAATAGAAGGACTTCTTACAGCTCAGCACTTCACATCCATCTTTTAGCTTCTATAAAATCCACTAATGGCAGTTTAAGCTCAATTGCTCTCATCTACATCTCCAGGACAATCAGAGCTGTCTTAGAGCATGTTAACAAGTATCAGCTGAGGAAGAGCTTTCCCTAAATATCAGCATCCATCTTTGCACGTGCACAGAAATGCCCACAGGAAAAGATGAACATTTAAGTGTGCCATGATTCAAGGCTATTGAAAGAAAACAAAACGACTCTGCATGCGTGAAACAAATGAGGAAGAGAATTAGACGAAAGACAAAAACTGTTTCCTCATTTGCAGTTGGCATCGTGCCCAAGGATGTGCAAAATGCAACAGAGCCATCGTTCTGTGCTAGCAGTGACAATGGCTCCCCAGGGGTCCACTGTCTCCAATTCATCCCAGACAAAGAGGCTGCAAAGGAGGTGAGCATACTGTGGGTAGCAGAAAGCCAGTGTTCCGTCAGGGTCCAAAATACAAATATCTTCAAGCTGCCATTTGACCAAAAGATCAGATGATGAGATTATACAAATGCAAGTTCTGAAAGATTGTAAAATCCTGAGGATGTTCTTGTCAGCTCTGAAAGTGTGTGTGTGTGTGTGTGTGTGCGCGTGCGTGTGTACAGCTGGCAGATCCATTTAGCTCCTATCCTCCCGACTGAATGGCTGCAATTCACTCAGAAGATCCAAGTGCCACAGCTGTGGCATTTACCAAACCTCTGCTTTGGATTTAATAGGCACAGGCTTTGCTGTGTACATTTGGAGAGTCATGGAAGCCTACATTTAAGAAATAGACAGTATCTTTGCATAGAAAGATCTACAGCACAGGTAGAGACTAAATCTCCCACACAGAACACCAAATGTGTGCACTTACACACAATATTGTAAAATCTTAATCTTATTTTATCAGCCCCATTGCACCACATCTCCCCCACTATCATATCTCATTCTTAATCTATAAGGACTATATCACACAGG